ACATACACACAGAACAGGATACTTCATCATGAAGATTGTCCAGCAAGGTCTTTATATCCATGGAAAAGGTCGGAAAGAAGGTTACTTTTTAAAAATTTCGACCTAGTTGTTGACGATCAAGGGAATGGCTTTGGGAATGAGCAATGAACTCTTGTCTTGTGACGCACACTTAACTCTGTATTATTAGCCAATCAAAGAGAGTTTCTTGACATGTGCATGTTTTGATGGTTTGACGGAAGAATAAAAAACATCCTGTATTTCCGAGAATTGTATGTGGTCAATAAAATCGGGGCGAGAGTAAAAAAAGAGGCCGAAATGAAGGAGCTTTCTCTCCCTAATTCGTTCGGAAAAGTTTGCTAGGTAGGCTGGAGCATGGACTACTGAAATTTTTAGAATATTTGTGTACACTCAACATGTTACACACGCGTACAATCCATGGACAGATTAAACTGGGAAAGCAAATCCCCGTGCTCTCAAAATCAGGAACCGCGCAAAAAAGCCACGCGAAAGCCAAAACGCGCCATGATTTCGGCATGCATTATTGTAGAGCCTGTGAGAGAGGACGGATTAATTACTTCAGCGGAGCGCGAAGTAAAGGAGTCGCGACGCTCAGGGCTGAGTTGCTCAAAGCATGGTTAGTTTTAACCATTGGTTAAGCAGTATCAAAACCAATACGTTGTCAAGGTATTAAACGCTGGTTAACGCTAACCATGCTTCGAGCAACTGGGCCCAGGAATGTATCAAAGTTGACTTTTTTTGACAAGATTGGGCACGCAAAGTCTGTAGGTTTTCGGTTTTATTCGGCTATTTGACGAAGTGAGAGCCGAATTAGTTCGAGATATCTCGAGATCACTTCGATTTCTCTGATTTATTATTTAACTTTTTCGAGGAAGAAAGAATTATTATTTTGGCTTTCCCGGAGTTTGAACCGACTCCGGCCCGTGTGACCTGTCTGATCAGAGGAGACTCTGAGTTGAGGGATTAGCCGATTGCGCTACTGCGACCCAAGGTATATTACGTGGCCGCGCAGAGACGCGAAATTTCTTTCGATCGAGTATTCAAAAACATTTCACGAGTGAGCCCTCCTTTCGAACTGTTTTATGATGAAATGCTGTACAAAGACATTTCGTCTTTGTTGAGTGTTACGTAGTAAAATTGCTTTCATGCGTTGGGTGACTTTCTCGAACGTTCTCTGCGTTTTTGGATTATTCATGAATAACTAATTAGGGCATGTTTACATTTCAGTATGAGTCAGCAGATTTGCATCAGTTACTGAAATCATAAAATATGTCGAAAAGCTACTACTTTTCGCCTGTTTAGTATTTTCTAGAACCTTATGTCAAACGGTATACAAGTTCCAAGCGAGTTCTTTTGACGGACTAAGTATTTTCCCACGAGCTGGACTGCTGTGTTTAGTCAAGTGTGACGAAGGTCGATTTTCAAGTTCTGTGTTTACAAGTTGGCGGTAGCCGTAAGATATGTGAAGTTCAAGTAAGAGTTTGTTATTATTGGCAGAGGCTGTTTAGTTTTACTTAAGTTCAAGTCAAGTTTGTGTTGGCGGATGCTGTGTTTTAAAGCTCTGTAAAGGCTATGTTCCTTTGGTATTAAACGTCCCTATGTTAATCCCACATCCCTGCGTGCTGACAGTCAGTGAATAATTATTCTCAAAACATTCGAACCCGTAACATTGAGTTTTAGCCAATTCCATATATGCTCAACGTAATTGACTCCTTATCCATGCCTTACATATCTTTAATCAGTACATGAGCCTGCTATGCTGTTTTTGAAGCCTGATGTGACTAAGAAAAATAGAGAATTCTTTTTTCACTGTTTGTTTTGTTAGACTTGTTATTCACCGCCAGTAACCTCATATTTGTCTTAGGACCCAAGTCAAATTTAGAAGGATTTGTATGGAGTCATCAGAGCATAACTGGGCTAATATCTCAGAGACAATTTGTCCCGAAATGCTAGTTTTAGGCAAGTAGGCCTCTTGGATGTTGCTCTTTTCAGAATATCCTGACAAATCCGGGACTCATGATTTCACAAATTAACACCTTACTCTTACCATATTTCATTTCTTACTATTCCTCCGCATTAATCAGTTCCACAACCACGACGCCGAAGTGTACGCTCCGAAGCGTCTTGTTTTACGTCTATTTTGTCCCAGATTGTGATCCTTAATTTGTGTGTTTCCAGTAAATAAATTAATCAACCTTCGGCAAAGTCATCCCCGATTTATACTATGCAACAAAACCCTCCAGAAAAAAATGGCAGTTGCAGAAAATTTTTGTCGAAGTGAAGGGAATGTTTCCGTTCTCATACCTATAAGTTCGCTGAGACAAAAATGCAGTTAACGTCACTAAAGGATTAAATTAGCTGCAAAACCCGTGGACGAAGATCCTGCTAGTTGTAAACTTTGGATCTCTAGGATCTCCATTTATATAATATTGTGATTGCTACATATAAGTTCAGTAACATCTGTAAACCTGAAGAAGGCTGGTATGGCCAGCCGAAATATTGTTATAAAAAACAATATACGTTGTTTTAAATCAGCTTTGCAGTAGTCTTTGGACTTCTTGTTCTTGGTTAGTTAACGTTACGATAAAACTGAACTGGAGCAAACAGTGATTTCCTTCTGAATTGTCAGTTGTTATTTTTTTCCGGACACTTCGGTAAAGTGCTCTCTTTCAAATGATTTTTTTTTACAAATTTTTATTATTATTATTAAGCTACGGTTGACAGAAAAAAAAAAAAAAAAATGCGGTAGCACCTTCAGGAAACCGCCGGCATTAGGCTTTCGCGCGAAAACCAGCGCCTTGCATTTTCCAGGGTTCAATCTTGTTTCCACGCCTCCTTTTGTTCCTTGTTGAGATTTGCATGAACTGCATGAGCAGTTCTTCTACCCGATTCGTGAGTTCTTTTCGGCTAGCGAGGGCTCCGTTATATTTTCTTTGCGAGACATCAACTTGACACTTGGCCTCTTGTCCTCCAGGAGACACGTGATATGGCATGATTTTGTCTTCTGTGGGTGTTGTGAGTTCTAAGTCAGGGTAAATCAGAGGCACCCAACGTCAATTTTAGGAAAATATCTGTTCGAAAGACGATTTGAGATCTAGAATTTTAGGAACATTTGTTGTAAAATTTCTTGCTTGCCTGCCTCTCCTAGAATTTTCGAACATCCAACAAATGGTATAATTGCCCATTTTTAACGGATTTTTACCCTAAAAAGGTCACCTAGAATTTTTCGGAGCCTTTTTTCTGGGCGAAATTTTTGGAAAAGGTAAGTTTTGATCACTTGAATTTTCGGATCACTAGACTTTCAGCTAGGATTTCCGACCAGATGAAAAATTTTTATGGGATAAAAATTTGCCTATATCTACTATTTAAATACTAAAACACATTTAACAATGCTACGTTTAAGTTTTGAACTATGTTCTCGTTGGGTGCCCCTGGTAAATCAGAGTGCGCGGGTTTTTTTCAACAGAGCTTTCTCTAGTTGTTACGCCATACTGAAGAGCTGCAACAATAGCGAAACAGCTGCCTATGGCTGTCGTGTTGATGTCTTGCAAAAAGTAATTTTCACGAGCATTGTATAATATTTTGATACGTTTAAGCTCAACACATGACGGTCTCCTTGGCTACGATAAATTTGAACAACAAAAAAACATTCCTTATATTTGATTATCCTTTAATGCATTTTCAACAAATCGTTATACAATTCGGTTAGTATATGTTATAAGATCTTATAATTAACGGACCAGAAGAACCTGTAGAGAAAAAAAATGGTACTTGAACTAAGGGCGCGGGGACAGTATTTCCAAAAACACACTAGCTAACAACTAGCAACTGCTGGAAACAAAATGAAAAGGTATACCGTATAACATAAAAAACAATTTTGATACCAAAAGGTGAACCATCTTATTAAACTACAATCGGCAATTCCATGATACTGCAATACATATGAAAAAAGGTTACAAATTAAAATATATTTACAAGTTAAATGTCATTTCAGCTATTATTACAGCTATGCTTCTATAATTTATTGTTACATTCACAGAAAAGACAAACTACATTGGAGGGCAATCTAATGCCCCCTCTCCCCACCCCCCAGCAACTAGAAAAGGCCAAAAGTGACAAATACCTCACAAGATGGTGTTGTTCGAAAAATTACGGTTTCTTATTCTACAAAACCAATTTGAACTTTTCAACAATAATTATACCACTGGTAAGATCATATTATATCTTGTCAAAAACCTGGATTCGGTTGTTGTGCTTATCACACACAACTATCCTTCCATCACTAAGATTTGCTGTAGACCTTGGAAAGTTAAACATTCCTCTCTCACTACCTTTACTTCCAAACTTTGTAACAAACTTTCCACTCAGTTCAAATACCTGAACTCTGTGATTGTCTGCATCACAGACCATTAACAATCCTTCTTTGTTAACTGACAAGTAACGGGGCTTATTGAACTCTCCATCCTTGTTTCCCTGTTTTCCAAATTTAGAAATAAGCTTCCCCCCCCAGATCAAACATTTTAATGGAATGATCACCGTGATCTGAGACTATAAAACTAGTTGACCATGTTGGATACAGTGAAAGGGCTCGACCAAAGAACCTGCTCCACCAAATTTACGTAAATACTTCCCACTAGAAGACAATATCTTGATTAATTTGTTACCCTGATCAGAAACAATAATGTCACCGTTACCGTTTAATATTGATAAACCTTGACGGAGTTTAAGCTGATTATCACGACTTCCATATTCACCAAACTTACTAAGAAAGTTACCATTCCTATCAAAGACTTGCACCCTGCAGTTATTATTGTCTGTCACTACAATATTGCCATGACTATCAAAAGCGATCCCTGTGGGGTACTGGAACTCACCATTATTCTTACCCTGCCTACCAAATGATCTTAAGTGGGTACCGTCACTACTAAACACTGAAACCCTGTTATTACCGAGCTCAGTCACAGCAATTGCATCACGATCACTCACTGCCACCCCACATGGCTTGTTAAGCATTCCAACAGACTCACCTTCTTGTCCAAATGACAGCACAGATTTGAAACGCCTGGTTTGTACCTGAGTCTGAAAAGGACTGTCATGAATATTTGCCCCTTTATTTCAGCTATTACTTTACTACTTTCTTTACCTTTAGTTCCTGATTGTTGCGCTTTAGTTTCGCTAAAAACAAATTCTACTTTACCTATCCCCTCGCTCATGCTCAACAGGCTAATCAGTTTTTCACTTTCAGTAAAACTAAACCGAGGAATACATTCAGTGTCACGGTTTTCTTTGGTGCTCTGTTCCTGCTGCAGGATTGTATCAAATGTTTCACTGAATCCAAGGATTTCAGTGCTAAAGCTTCGTTTCAACAGAGTTTCAGTTTTTTTAATAGCGGATTCAATTATTTTTAATTGTTTTTCCTCTTTTTTTTTTTTTTGTGAGAGAGATTCCAGTAATTTTTTGGCTTGATTATCGACTGCATCAAAAATATCTTGTTTCCTCGCTTCGATGATTGCAATAATTTGGTCTACACAAGATTGCACTTGGCTTTTTACCTCGGTTACTTTTGACTGAAATGCGATGCTTTTTTGGTTAAATTGCTCGACTTCCTTTTGTTTTTCCAGTACTTTGTCTTTCAAAGATTTTATCATGGAGCTAATCTGTGTTTTTCCCTCGTCAGTAGCTTCTTGCAAGGCCATCTTACCATGACCTTCATGAAGTGTTACAGCGCAAGTGTTACAAATGGCGACTTTACAGTCCTTGCAAAAGAACTCCAACTCTTTGTTTTCATGGTGTTTCTTCTGACAAAATGCTGGTCGCTCTAAAACAGCTTTGACGTCTTGATCTTGAAAATCTTTTAGTGCTAGCGTTCTGTGGTCTTTATTTTCTCGCATTATGTTATGTCCTAAAATACATTCTTCACACCAAAAGGAACAACACTGGAAACAATACGAGGTTTGGGCGCTCCTTTTATCGCAGTTTCTGCATTTGACATGGACTGTACTGCACTCTTTTATTGCTAAGACATCTAGCAGGCTGTTTATTCGAAAATTGGTGGGAAGTTCGCTGGGATTTCCACTTCCAGAAATCTGAAACTGTCTCCTACACTCGGGGCATGTAATTTTTCCATGGACCCCGCTCGTCCGTTGAATTCCGTTCAGGCAATGAAGACAGAAATTGTGCAAACAAGGCAACTGCTTTGGATCAGTGAATGTACACATGCACACAGAGCAGGATACTTCATCATGAAGATTGTCGAGCAAGGTCTTGACATCCATGGAAAAGGTGGGAAACAAGGTTACTTTTTAAAACGTTTGGCCTAGTTGTTGACGAACAAGGGAATGGCTTTGCTAAAGAACATTGAAGTCTTGTCTTGTGACCCAGACAAAACCGGCTCGGTATTATTAACCAATCAAATAGAGTTTCTTGACATGTTTTAATGGTTTGACGGAGGAATAAAAATCATCCTGTATGTGACTGGTGACGAAGAGCAAGGGACCAGCGGCGAGCTACTTTATCAGGTGACACAGGGCCTACAATAAGCGCAGGCGCAATTTCGAACAAGCGAGCCGCGCAAAGTGTGTAGCTGCCTGTGTGTGATTGTGAAAGCAAACTAAGAGCTCATTTAAACTCTGGAAATATTAATTGGTCTCCTACCATCACTCTCTAAAAGGCGGACGCCTCTGTAGAGTAACAGTTATAAACGGTTCCAACGATCTTCGCAAACAGTTGAGCGTAACAATATTAAACAGAGCGAATGCTAGTATGCGCTCCCAGAAAACACCTGCAGTGTCCTGATTTGATCATTTGAACTTCACGCGTGAGGAGCCTGGGACGATACAAAAAGGAATTGAACTTTGGGACAGTTTTGGAGAGAACACCTCTTTTATTGGCTATCGCAAGAGGCTTGCAAGGTTGCCATCACTTGTGCGAGTGGTTGGTGTACTAAACTCCGCTCCTGTTATCTCCTTGGCTTTCTACAGAAACAAAAATAGAAGTCAGAATGTACTTTTCTGTCGGACGAGAGGGCTTTGCAATGACTAAGCCGTCTTGCAAGGGAATTTTTGCGGCCAGCGATCTCGCTACTCGTGGTAAGGACAATGGAACTCGCGCGCGAACTTATCATAATAAAATAAGACCAAGATCAATATGTGACGGTAATTTTCTCTCCGACATAGTCGCAAATTTCTTATTTAGGACTAGCTGTGGCCAGTGACGTTCCATTGTTAAGGAACTGATGTTCCTATTTAAGCTTTTCTTCTGATGGAAGTACGTGTTTTTCTTCGAGTAGTTATGTGTATTTCAAAGTCAATTTGCTACGGTAGCCTCTTCAGTTCCACTACGACAACCTATTCAATCGGAATTGTTATAAAATTCCTCATTTTAGAGTCAAAAAACGTTGTTTGTAAAACTCATAGTAGCTGATAATTATCCAGAAATTAAGCTTGTACCTTTGGATCTGTAACAACGAAGTCTGGAACTAAACTGCAATGAACACTCATGCAGCCATGATGGAACCTTAGAGGAGTCCTACACAAAATCGCTCATCATTTATAAATAATAATTTTAAAAATTCATTACAGCTCGTCTCTAACTATTGGACGACAAAGGCCCAAGGAGGGGGGCGTAAGGGGGGTCCGAAAACCGCAAAACCGCACAGAAATACGCCAAAAAACCGCAAACCGCATCGGATTTTTTCCCGAATACCGAAACCGCGCGTACATGTAGGCCACAATATGAAAGCTGACGTCAGCAAGACTTGTGAAATATTCTGATAACATTGTGCGTTAGTATTAAACATACCATCATAACGCTAACTAACTAACTAACTAAACTATGACCGCTGATGAATAATTAAGGGGATTTCACTAATTAAGCACAGACTCAGCACATGGTGACTTGACCTTTTACTGCTGGCCGTCCAAATCTCCAAGGTCTCCAGGGGTGTTGTTATTTTCCGACAGTCGACAAACGAGAAAATATCACTCTATATAGACCTTTCTATAAATTAAACCTGTTTAAAAGGAGTCGTTAGTCGTTTACAGGACAAAAACCCTGAGAGTTTTGACTCAAAATGGACGAAATGGTCTTAAACAAACACCATTAACAAGCCAGTATTGTATATCGAATAAGTTCAAAACCCAAAGGGTCCCAAAGGACCCAAAGCCCTGAACAGGTCCTCTACAGGTCTACGACCTCGTCTACAGACCTATAGCCTGCATAGCAAGCTTTTCCGCGCGAGTTCGTCGAGAAACTTGGGACGAGAGCAAAAAAAAAGGAACTAACTTTCGCGCTATAACTCGACTGGAAACGCTTGCTACGCAGGCTAAGAGACCTAAAGAGACTAAATATTATACGACCACTTAGTGATCTGGAATCAGTGCTGCTTTGGAATGCGTAGGCGTTTTTTGGGAGCTTTACATTACATTAAAACTAAGTAAAATTGTGGTAGTACTTACCAAACTGTCTCTGTGAATTTAATGACGCGCTTCTCATTTTTGTTTACCTTACAACGAAATTTGTTCTTTTTTCTGAAATTCTCCCCTTCCTTTCCTTCTTCACAGAAGATTGCCACGCAATTAATTACTACTTCGCTTTCAGTTGCGACCTCGACGACCTCAGTTGCCATTGTCGCGCATTGAATCAAAGCAACGAGAACATGAGGCTGTACGGCTGTACGAGCTAACATCCGGCATGGAATTTCACGAAGTCGACATCATTGGGCAAAACGGTTAATCACATTAGGCATTAACTGGAAAAGGCCGTAATTGCAAACCACAGAGTTAAATTGTAAGCTGATATAATGAACCCTGATGCGTTGTAAAACAAAACACTTGGCTCGCGCTTGCAAAACAACCGGATGCCGACCGTTCTAAAGAGTGTTATCACCGCAGACACTTTTTTTCACCGAAAACCGCGACTTAAAGGTTGTAATAACCGCAAACCGCTTAGTGTTTTGAAACCGCAATACCGCGAGTTAAAATAAAAATTACCGCAAAACCGCACCAAAAATAACGCAAAACCGCATCACCGCAAACCCTTACGCCCCCCTCCCCAAGGTATTGTAAGCGACGACCGATTAGACCCTCGATCTATACGACCTATATGGATACCTTCAAACAAAAATAGAGAACTAGAAATGGAAGCGTTAAGGTGAAACGATAACCTGACAACTAACCATTGCTCAAGGATACCATAGGGTTAACCTGTGTTAAGAACATAAAAAGGGGACGGGTAGAGAGAAGGGGAGGGGATTAAATGAGGAACCCTATATTGCTAAACAGACTGAAGATAAGTTAAGGACAAGAGGAGAGGAGAGGGGAGGGGATTATAGAGGGGATTAAGGACACTCTTGCAATGAGGAACCCTATATTGCTAAACAGACTGAAGATAAGTTAAGGACAAGAGGAGAGGGGAGGGGAGGGGATTATAGAGGGGATTAAGGAGACCCCTGCAATGAGGAACCCTATATTGCTAACAGATAAGATAAGATAAGGACAAGAGGAAAGGAGAGGGGAGATAACCTTATCTGCATGCTCTCCCCTCCCCTTCATCCACTTGCTACGCAGGTTTCACTTGCGTACAGCTTGTAGCACATGCCCTGAACTGAAGTGTTTTAACAGATATCTACCTTTATAGAATAACGAAGATAGCACGCGCGTCCTGATTGGTTAAAAACCTATGGTTTATTGTGCCAGTAAACTCATAGAAAACTTTAAGTTATTTTATAAAAGCAATGGACCACACTTTCTATGGGTTTACCGGAGTGATATCACGAGCCGAGGGGATTATCAGGCCGGTACATCCATAGAAAGTGTGGTCTATTGCTTAATAAAACTCTTTGTCGTCTGCTTTGGTCGTTTTGGGTCCATATGGACTCATGCATATTATTCTCTCTGGACCCCTTAGGCTTTCAATTCTAGCTATTAAGATGGTAATTAGCAATATCGGCGAGGATAGAGCACATGTCCAGGTGTACATCATTTAGCAAATTTTGACCAATCTCAAAGTACCTGACGGCTCAAATTCATTAAGGCTTGGTTCCTTACAAATTCTTCAGAATTTTGAAGGGAAGTGGTCACATGTAACTTTTTTTTTTTTAAGATACCGTAAAATTCCGAAAATAAGCCCTTCCATGTATAAGCCCCTTCAAATATAAGCCCCCCAATCCGGTAACGCGAAAACCCTCCGTTAAATCGCCCCTCCAAATATAAGCCTCCCGGGGCTTGTACTAGGAAAATTGCTCTCAAATACAAAGTAAAACAAAGCAAAAATGGTAAATTTACTTCCAACTATAAGGCTAGCCCAATCGATATTGAAACGCATCTTTCCCTCCGTAGATGAGCCCCTCCAAAAATTGACTCTTCAAAAAGGGCCTTTGAAAAATATAAGCCCCGGGGCTTATTTTCGGAATTTTACGGTATCCCAGGTCTAATACTAACAATAGCTAAGAAATCTTCAAAGTTTATTTGAAAAATTGTTTATAACTGCATCACGTGACCAGCCACGCCCTGTTTTATCTAGAAATCCTTTGGGTCAAAATGCAAACTATGTAGAAAGCAAACGGAAAATTTGCTTTTGTAGGTCCAAACAGTGGCTGCCGATAGTCTTCTTGAAAAAAGATTGGAATGAGACGAAAATGTCCGTATTAAGGGGGTTGAATTAAGAGAAAACTGTGTAAGGGCTTTTTTTTTCCCGGGGACAAAAAATGAGGTATCTTTAACCAAAAGTACTATGAGTTTGTCTTCAAGCAAAGGTACCAAGCGATTTGACAAAAATCCACTTTTCATCGTAAATCAACCAAATCTGGCTATTTAATGTAAAATCAGGTGAAAAAATCGGCGAAAGATGATTTTTCGGTTTTTTGATTAAAGAGGGGTTCGACTGTACTGTTGCCTTGTCCTACAAACTGCTCAGTAGACCTATGCGCGGCTCGGATGATCACTGGACATAATGATGGTCTATTCTCCGAGAAGAGACGTAAAAATAGTGTTCTCAATTAGTACAAGCGTGCTAAATACATTATTTTACACTTGAATGAGGTACTGGTACGTTTAACGTCAACACATGACGGTCTCATTAACAACGATAAATTTGAAGAAAGAAAGTATTCCTCATATTTGATTATCCTTTAATGCATTTTCAACAAAACGTTATACAATTCTGTAAATATATATGTTATAATTTAACGGACCTGAAGATCCTGACGAGAAAAACAAATGGTACTTGAGCTAAGGGCGCGGGAGAAATACTTCAAAAATACACCAGCTAACAACTA